ATATTGGGCGCTCAGATCCGAGCTATCTGGTGATAGGTTAAAGGTGGGGGTTCTGTGTAATATAATAGGAATTATATATTTTTATGTATTTTTACTGTTAGTGTAAAATGGAGATATTTTCTGTACCTGGAGATAATTGAGTTTACTGCAGTGCCTTAAGCCAATTATCTCCAGGATAGAGGGGAGGGATTTTACTGTGTATGTGGGAGTGTTTATATATATATCCCTGTTTATATAATATATACCGTATACCCTCTATATACCTACCAAGTATCCCTGTTTATATAATTATATAATATATACCATATACCCTCTATATTCCTACCAAGTGTCCCTGTTTATATAATATATACCATATACCCTCTATATATCTACCAAGTGTGCCTGTTTATATAATTATATAATATATACCATATACCCTCTATATACCTACCAAGTATCCCTGTTTATATAATTATGTAATATATACCGTATACCCTCTATATATTTACCAAGTGTCTCTATTTATATAATGATATGATATATACCATATACCCTCTATATACCTACGAAGTGTCCCTGTTTATATAATCATATAATATATACCCTCGATATGCCTACCAAATGTCCCTGTTTATATAGTTATATAATATGTACCATATACCCTCTATATACCTACCAAGTGTCCCTGTTCATATAATTATATAATATATACCATATGCCCTCTATATACCTACTAAGTGCCCCTGTTTATAGAATTATTTAATATATATCATATCCCCTTCATATACCTACCAAGTGTCCCTGTTTATATAATATATACCATATACCCTCTATATACCTACCAAGTATCCCTGTTTATATAATCATATATTACATACCATATACCCTCTATATACCTACCAAGTGTCCCTGTTTATATAATATATACCATATACCCTCTATATATCTACCAAGTGTGCCTGTTTATATAATTATATAATATATACCGTATACCCTCTATATACCTACCAAGTATCCCTGTTTATATAATCATATATTACATACCATATACCCTCTATATACCTACCAAGTGTCCCTGTTTATATAATATATACCATATACCCTCTATATATCTACCAAGTGTGCCTGTTTATATAATTATATAATATATACCGTATACCCTCTATATACCTACCAAGTATCCCTGTTTATATAATCATATATTACATACCATATACCCTCTATATACCTACCAAGTGTCCCTGTTTATATAATATATACCATATACCCTCTATATATTTACCAAGTGTCTCTATTTATATAATGATATAATATATACCATATACCCTCTATATACCTGCGAAGTGTCCCTGTTTATATAATCATATAATATATACCCTCGATATGCCTACCAAGTGCGCCTGTTTATATAATTATATAATATATACCATATACCCTCTATATACCTACCAAGTATCCCTGTTTATATAATTATGTAATATATACCGTATTCCCTCTATATACCTACCAAGTGTCTCTATTTATATAATGATATGATATATACCATATACCCTCTATATACCTACGAAGTGTCCCTGTTTATATAATCATATAATATATACCCTCGATATGCCTACCAAATGTCCCTGTTTATATAGTTATATAATATGTACCATATACCCTCTATATACCTACCAAGTGTCCCTGTTCATATAATTAAATAATATATACCATATACCCTCTATATACCTACCAATTGTCCCTGTTTATATAATTATTAAATATGTGCCATATACCCTCTATATACCTACCAAGTGTCCCTATTTATAGAATGATATACTATATACCTTCTATATACCTACCAAGTGTCCCTGTTTATATACTCATATAATATATACCATATACCCTCTATATACCTACCAAGTGTCCCTGTTCATATAATATATACCATATACCCTCTATATACCTACCAAGTGTCCCTGTTTATATAATTATTAAATATGTGCCATATACCCTCTATATACCTACCAAGTGTCCCTGTTTATATAATCATATAATATCTTTTTGTTTTTGTATAATATATACCCTCGATATGCCTACCAAATGTCCCTGTTTATATAGTTATATAAAATGTACCATATACCCTCTATATACCTACCAAGTGTCCCTGTTCATATAATTATATAATATATACCATATACCCTCTATATAACTACCACGTGTCCCTGTTTATATAATTACATAATATATACCATATACCCTCTATATACCTACCAAATGTCCCTGTTTATATAATATATACCATACACCCACTATATACCTACCAAGTGACATTATTTATATACTTATATACTATATAGCATACCCTCTATATACCTACCAAGTGTCCCTGTTTATTTAATCATATAATATATACCATATACCCTCTATATACCTACCAAGTGTCCCTGTTTATATAATTATTAAATATGTGCCATATACCCTCTATATACCTACCAAGTGTCCCTGTTTATATAGTCATATAATATCTTTTTGTTTTTGTATAATATATACCCTCGATATGCCTACCAAATGTCCCTGTTTATATAGTTATATAAAATGTACCATATACCCTCTATATACCTACCAAGTGTCCCTGTTCATATAATTATATAATATATACCATATACCCTCTATATAACTACCACGTGTCCCTGTTTATATAATTACATAATATATACCATATGTAACGGCTACCCTGGTAGAGAGAGGGTATCGGCCGTTGGAGACGTCCTTTTCCCCTGCAAGTTGCTGTGGAGAAGTAAGCTGGTATAATCCCATCCACGATATCCAGAGTAAAAGTCAGGTTCAGCTGTAGCAGGAGCAGAATAACATTCCCAAATAATCCCCTTTCAAGAACGAGACAAGGCTACGTTTTGCAGGGTCAAGAAGATCTGAGGTCTGGGATAACCAGCCTGCTTTTTATTAGGAACAAGTACACACAGGACACTCCCAGGGGGAGGATGAAAATAACCAATTACACACAGGGTAACACCCCCACGTCTCCTCCCCTCAGATAAACATATAACATAATTATAACGTACATAAATTTACCCACATTCTGGATGTACCCCAAAAACAGGGGGTACACCTTTAAGTCCAGCACCGCTTAATAGCTACCACTCAGGGGAATAACATATTCAAATTTCACGTCATTCGGTTGTGGGGTTCGGGAGTTATGGGTCTTTGAAGTTTTGACCGACCGCACAGGATTTTCAGCCGAAAAGAGTTCCACAAGTTTTGGCCTTGCGGTCGGTCCCCGTTCGTGAATAAAAACCCCACGAACCCCTTGCCCTCCACAGTAATCCTGCCGTTCGCCTGAATCCCCATGCATGCTTAAACAAAACTACCGAACGGCCGGTCGTTCGGTAGTTTCAGCACGAACTTACGAGCTCCTGGAGGTCTCAGCGGCGTTCGCCTGTTTGCGCATCCGTTTTTAGTTCCATGAGTTCACAGGCAAACACCGCCGTTCGTGCGTAAGATGGCCGCGAACACGTGTAAAGTCCCGAAATGGCGGCCACCTATTCTCAGACAAAGGGATTCGTCTGAACCAGGCGAACGGCTGTATTCTCCAGTAATGGTATTCCCTTGCAATAATTTCGCCATTTTCACTGTTTTAGTCCACAGGGCTTTGGTGCTGGTGAAGTCCTGTTACACTGCTCCCCTTTTGTGGAACACCCCGGCAGACCCGGATTGATCCTTTTCGGGTCAACTTGGGGCTGTCCGGTCCATTGTTAGGGTAATAGTTCCGTTTGTCTGGACAGACCATCGGCATTTCCATTAAATTTGCCAGGGCGGTATTGGATAGAGAAGTTATAGGGTTGCAGTGCGAGGCTCCATCTTAATAAACGTCCATTGTCTCCAGCTACTCTATTCAGCCATACCAGAGGGTTATGGTCGGTGATTAGAGTAAATTCCTGCCCGTACAAATATGGGGTGAGTTTCTTTAGTGCCCAGACTAGGGCCAAGCATTCCTTTTCCACTGCCGCGTAACTCACTTCCCTAGGTAACAGTTTTCTACTGAGATACGCGACAGGGTGCTCGCTTCCATCTTCACCGACCTGGCTTAGAACTGCCCCCAGTCCATACATGGATGCATCTGTATGGA